CCCGCCGGGGTTCGGTGGGCGGTTCGCCGCAGGAGCCCCCCCACGCCGCCGTCCCCCCGACCCAGAAGAGCGGCCGGTCACTACAGGGCCGGGGCTACCAACTCCCCCCACGCCCCAGGAGAGAGGGGGAAAAAACATCCTCCGTCTTCCTCCCCTTTGGGCTCCCCTCCTGGCAGCTGGGAGGGACGATGGCTTCGAGCCACCTTCTGAAGCAGTTTCCCTCCCGACGCTTCTTAAAAAGGGAATTGAAAGCCCTGAGAAGGAAGGAACGAGAGCAGCTCGCAGGGAGCTACTGTTTTTAGGGAAGGCGTCTGCTACCGGACATGTCCGCTGCCAGCAGTGTTTTTAAGAGCATCCCTCTCCGAAACAAGCAGGGAAGCAGCAACGCCAGCGCGGGCTCCCCACGCGGGAGAGGCAATTCCCAGGCTTCGGTGCGTTGCGAGAGGGGAGAAGCTCAGAGACTGCTCGAACTGAAGCAGCGGGAGAGGAGGGGGCAGGAGTCTCTGCTTCGATCTAGCCAAAACTGGGAAAACTCGAGCTAACAAGGCTTCTTCGCATCAATGCCAAAAATCCCTGCTCGGGGCAGGCGAGGGGTTCAGGCGGTCCAGCCCAGGAGGGGAGAAGGCGCAGCCCAAAGCGGGCACCGGTCCCAGAGAATTGGGACCACCCACCTTCCCTTCCCCAGGGAGAAGCTGCTGAACAGGGGGGCAAGAAATGGGGGGAGCCAGTTGCGGGCTGCCTGCTGAAGCCAGTCCGGGGGCAGCTAACACAGGCTTAAAATCTCAACTTACATGGAATATATTATACAATTAAATATCTGAAGGAAGGTTCATTTACAGTGAGGGAAGGGTTAAAGCCAGGCCCTCTAGGCAGGAGCTGGAGGCAGGTTGGGGCAACTCTGAAGAGCAGAAGATGGGTGGCCTTAATACTTTTTCTCTAGAACAACCGAGACGGGCAGCGATGGCTCAGGCCCTGCCTCTGACCAACAGCTCTGCTCTTTGGGTTGCGGGGAAAAGGGCCATGAGAAAGGTTAATGCTATTTGGAGTCCAATTCCTTCTGCCCTCCAGACCTTGCACTTCCCACCCTCCCAGAGCTCCATGTTGAGAATTGCCTTTAACTGGGAAGGAAGGGGCAGGCCACCGTTTAACGCAAGTCCTCCTCTTCGCCCTGGATGGTTTTCTTGATGCGGAGCAGCATGGTGGTGAGCCACTGGTCCAATCGAGAGATGGAATCGTATTCCTTTACCTAGAGGGAGAAAAACATCCTCAGAGAAAGGCAGAGAGTGGGAAGAGGCAAAACTCCACCCAGCAGAGCACTAGCTTTCAGGGAGCACCACACAGGCTCCTAATTAGAGTGTTATTTGGAGAGGAGAATCCCAAGAGCCTTGGAAAAGGAATTCAGGATGGTATCAAGCAGCACAGCCTCACAGACGAGGTGCTGGGACCCAGGGCATTCCTTCTACTGCTTGAAATCAGACCCTGTGGCTGCGCCCCAGACACCCACCTGCGCAGTGGGGCAGCACCACTGACCTCCAGAGCAGAGTACCTGGAGATCGCTATGAGCTCAGCGATAAAGAGGGTCTGAGGAAGTGGGAATGGGGCCAAACATTGAACACACACATGCGAGAACCCACAAAGGAAGGAAAGCTTTGGAGAGCAAGCTGAGGGCACAGAGCTGGACCCAGTCCTGGAAGTATCTGCGGTGGACAGGCGAGAACCCACAAAGGAAGGAAAGCTCTGGAGAGCAAGCTGAGGGCACTTCCAGGACTGGGTCCAGCTCTGTATCTGCAGTGGACAGAGGCAGGCAAGAGCTTTTCTCTTCACGTTTGTGGTACCTCCCCACAGCATATTTACGCTAGAAGAACATTTAAGACAAGATGCTTCCATCAGCATTCAACTTACTGCATCAGTGTAGCCGTCTATGTTCTGTTCCTCGTGAGCATCCAGCAATTTCTACAAAAGAAGAGCGCATGAGAGATCAGTGGAGGCCTTCCTCCATTGCCATGTGCTGCAGGGCTTCCCAGCGCTGCCTGCCTCCTCGAGAGGTGCCGTGTTGCGCATGCAAAGCCCTTGCAGTTGAAGGCAACAACAGAGGGAAAATCCACTGGCCTCCAGGGAGGTTCCAGGCAAGCGCATGTCCTGCAAACTGCCACTAGCTTGGCTTTACGCCCAAGTTTCTTAAGAACAGATTTGGGGAGCAGCAGGGGGGAAGGAACTGCCTTGGCAGGGCAGAGCAAAGGCCCATCTTGTCCAGGATCCGCTCTGCAAGAGATCACACTCAGAGAGCAGCCAGCCTACAACTCTAGTGACTGAGTTCTGGTCCAGGTGCCTTTTAGTGCTCCGCAGGAGCAGGCCTTGCTCCTTGCTGCATTCCTTATGGTGTTTCCTTCCTAGCCCTTCTGTGACGCAGGTTAGGGTAGAGGAGGGAATTAACTCTGCTACTCACTTTGACCAACTTGCACTCCCTGGAATCCGTGAAAGCCGGAAACATCTCTTCGTATTTCTGCACGGCCAGCTAGAGAGTAAGAAACGAGATGAGCACCCACATAGAGAGAAGCTTGGAAAGGGATTGGGGGAGGCCATCTCACAGCCCTAAGCTACCAGCCCTTTCCAACCCTCTGCTTATGGCCAAGGCATTCGTTTGCTGCAGCAAGGGGCCTGGCTCCCCACACCCACCCCAGATGAGCAGCTCAAGCATTGGCCAAACCTTTGCATTGAGCATGTCGATACAGAAGTGGCAGAGGGCTGCCTTGAAGAAGTACTCCTTGGCGCTGTACTTCAGCAGGGGACTGTCCATCGCACTGGTGCCCACCTGGAGAAGACAGTAGGGATTAGAGGCTTCCTAAGATACTTAAGGAGTCACATCAGATCTGAACAGGCAATCACAAGAGCGGCTGCAGCAAAGAGCTTTTGGTAACAGCTCTCCCTGCTGCAGCAGAGACTGCTAGCCCTTTACAGGGCCACCTGCCCACCCCCCACTTTAGGGAGCTCATTTACAGACTGGCAAGAAGCCTTTTGCACTTAAAGACAAGGGTGAAGGCAAATCTCAACACCTCCAGCGAGCACACACCATCATGTTTTGCAAGAGGGCTGGCAGAGTCTGCCCTTTCAATGCAACGAGGAGTCACAGACCTGCTCATAGATCTCCACGGCTTTCTGGTACTGCTCCAGCTGAGCTGCGTAAGTGGCCACTTTCAGCAAGCACTTGTTAGCAGAGCTGTGGGGAAAGAGAACCAGGAAAGCTCAGGACAGCCGGGGCTCGGCCAGCACTGCCCTCTGCCGGTGCATGCACACGGAGTATCACCGGCCTGGCGCGCACGACCAGCTCGCGCTATCCACAAAATATTGTGGGTTTTTTTTTTTTTTTTTAAACCTTGCTGCGGAAGTCCCACCTTCCCTTCCAACACGCACATCAGTGCGGCAAGGCGTAACGCCACTGTCCACCAGCAAGCGCCCCTGCCCCTCGGAGGCCCCAGCTCCCGCCTTGCTGCGGGACGTGGGTTTCCCCAGAGAAGGGGAAGTGGCTGAAGCTGTTAAGCACAGGAGACTGACTCTTGCGGGTTGTTTACCAGCGCTAGAGCACGGGGCAGTCGGGAACCCTCCCCTCTCCCATATGAGGGAGCCTCTGTGACGAGACAGGCCCTGGCTTGCCTGCGCAAGCAGAAAACAGTGCCACACCTTCCCCAGTTCAGAAGCTGGTGGAAAGAACCGGGAAAGAAGCCAGCACCAGCAAGACATGCAATACCCCTTGCTCCGGGGGGAGGGAAGTAACTTTAGAGGCAAACTTAGTCACCATCTGTTTCCTGGTCCTCTCTGGGCTGCGTTACAGCTCTTATCCTGCCCAGAGAGTTGCAATGACAGCTCCCAGAGAGCCAGGAGTAACCGAGGCTGCAATGTCCACAGTGTCTGCATACCTGTTGGACTCCTCCCCTTTGTAGTAATCTGCAGCCTGCTCGTAGTGGGCTATCGCCTAGAAGGAATGCAACACAGTGAGCGCTCCCCAGGCAGGGAGTAGCATACCATAAGAAAAAGAAAAAAAATACAGATATCAGAGATGTATAGCTTTCAGCAATGCTGTGCCTGAAACTGCTTGGGAGAATCCTTCACAGCCCGGCCTTGCAGGACGCATGCACGCTCCAACCCGCCCACGCAGCTTCCGCTATCGGCGCTGCCATCTGTGGCTGGCTCCTAACGCAGGGCCTGATATAAAGGTGGCAACTGTCCGGCAGCTCCCCCGTGGAGACAAGGTCAGAGAAAGTGTGGCAAAGCCTTAACAGAACCTGGACCTTCCAGTCAGATTAGATGCCAGCCCAACAGCGAATGCCCCAAGACATCACAGCATTACCAGGCTAGAGCAAAGATATGCTCCCTCCCCAAGGAAAACAAGCTTAAGGATATTTTCTTCTTTTCAGCCCATTCTTTAAGGGGGCGGCTCATCTCCTCACTGCCTGTGGGTACATTTCACACACATATCTCCTGCCAGCAGGCTGGGGACCTACTGGGCAACCACAACTAAATTTGAAGGCAAATCATATTACTTTCGTTAAGCCTATAGGATCGGTGTCAAAGAGGGGGAAGGCCTTCCTGATGGGAGCTCACACATCTGGCTGTACAAGCTCAGCCCTTCTTAGGGAAGGGCATAAGCCCAGCCTCAGGGCAAATCCAAACAAAAGCAGGTTATTCCGTGAGCAGCAAGCTGTTTAGGGATTGGGGAACAGCAACTGGCAGGGCAGGACTGACAGGAAGGCTGCCGGAGATGCCCAGCCGGCTGTCAAAGCAGGAAGAGAGACGTGCCCCATTATCTGGCACTTCATAGATCTGGTAGATGTTCAGGAAGCTGGAGCTGTATCTAGTTGCTGCATTTGTGAAGTTGTCATGGGAACATACACACGGAGTACACCGCTCTAGCGGCAGCAAAGACTGTGGGTTATTCCCAGGAGTTGTCAAGTAGGATGTCACAAAGACTTGCTGGGAGGAGTGTCAAGAACAGCACTAAATTAACTCATGAAGTGAGCGGAAGCCTGAATTAGACCCATGCAGGATGTGGAAACTTGTTTCCCTTTAAAATAAACCTGGTTTATTTCACTTCCAGCCAGCAAGGAACACATCTAAACTAGGAAAGAAAAAAATACCCGCATAAGTCAAAATACCTAGCCATTCAGAGGTATAAAAAGCAGATCATGATATGGCCCTTCAGGATGCCAAAGGCAGGCAGACATTTCAGCCTCCAACGAGGCAGAGAGTTTCACTACCTTGATTGGTAGTGGTGATTTTTTTTTTTTTTCAGATGGCTCCAGTGACCTGTTCCTGCAGTTCTCAGACACCCACGCAAGCCTGAAGCCTTTTATTCTTTCATTAGCTGCAGTATCAAGGCCATTCCAAGTGTTTTCCCAGCTCTGTGCAGGGACTGACACGCTCTAGGAAGTCTCGCTGGTATTCGAGCTCAAAGCCCCCTTCCTGGCCCCCTTCGGAAGGCCAGCAGACCTCAGCAGGGCAGCTCATGCACCAGGCACTTTTCTGGGAGGAGGCAAGAACAGCCTCAGGGCAAAGGGCGCTTTGTATAGGGTACGGCATCCTGCACATGTGACAGCACTGAGCTCGTCCTGTCAGGGTTGCAGTGAATCAGCAATGTCCCTGCACTCTGTCCCAGCCACGAAGCCTCTGGGTTTTGATGGTTTGCAAATTCCAGCTTCAAGGCAGGAATACATTTACAGAATTCAACAGATACGGCCCAAGCTCTGCTTCCCCATGCCCTGAGCTGGCAGGAAATGCCGCAAGGATGGCTTGGCCCCTGCACTGCAAATTCCCATCTCTCCCCCACGCTTACCTTCTCGATATCCACCAGCTCCGTCTCATAGATTTCCGCTATTGATATGTGGTGTTTCGCAGCTATGGTGAATCGACCCTGAAAGTAGACACATTCGCACGTGTGGGCTGGCACTTCTCTCCTCTCTGAGGGGACATTTGGTGGGGCTTGGGGTAGCTCTCCAACAGCAATCTCGACACCAGTGCTCAACTCCGACAGGGGCATGCTGCCTAACAGCTGCTCTGAGAGCAGGCAACGCTGCTCAGCTTATCATTCCCAGCACCAGAAAACACATGTCCCTGGGTACCTGCCCACCTTCTAGCTCTCCCTGGACACTGGTTTCAGCCCCATTCTCCTAGGCAGCGTCATGAGCCCTTTGCAATGCCAACAAGTTGGACAAAAAAGTCAGAAAAATGCTGACTTCCACTGGCATCTCTTTGAGCTGAGGGCATGCAAGGAGGTACGCCAAACCCTTCAGCGTCACCACCCTCCCTCCTGAGGAACAACAGCTGTCTCCAGAGGTGACAGAAGAGAGCACGGCCAGGCTCACCATATCCGTGTAGATCTCGATAGCTCTGATCAAACAGTTAATGGCCTCTGAAAAGAAAGAACAGATTTGTGAACACAGGCGCTTTGGAAGACCAGTGCTGTTTGCCACCCCTCCCCTCCTTCTCCCAGCCTCCCTGAAGCGATGAAGCTGTATTTATAGCACGCTCAAAGATCAATAGCTACTCAAGAAAAAGCTGCTGAGGCTACAGGCTTCTAGGGAAATTTAGAGCATGCCAGTGGTGACACTCACCATCAGGGGACTGTAGAGCAAATCAAAGACTCTCCCTCTGTTTGTACCATCTTGTCCCTGTGCCCCCACGTTAGACAGCTGATGGACAAAAGTCAGACAGCTTTTATCAAGCAGCCTACGAACATCTTGCTGTATCACAGGTCTCCGATCAGAGACCACCTACGACAAGATCAGCAATACCGCTTTAGTACATATTTGAACCGCAGCGCTAAATGCCGCTATAGATGGAAATTATCCTAATCCAAGGTGCACGTGGAGTGGCTTAGGCTTTAACAGCAGCAAAGACTCTTAAAGAACAGTATCAACCCCATGGCAAAAATATTCTGCATTAAAACAGACCACACCTTCACCCAGGTAACGCGCATCACTAGAGATGGAGCAGGTCTGACACACAGACTCCCAAGGGCTGTTCTAGCTATCGTTTCATCACGCACCATAGCGCTATTCACTGCCCACCGTGCCCTGGGGCAGGAGGAGAGAGGAGCAGCACTGATTTCCTGAAGTTCACCGCAGGTCAGGACCTAAGAGCAGAACCCAGAACCACGCAGTATCCCTGCATCCACGCAGTATCGCTCCATCCATCGCCCGGAGCACAGAACGGCCCAGTAGCCGGAAAGCATGAATAAGCTACTTTTCCCCCTCCCTGTCCAGAACAAAAGGCCTTTGTCTAGGGTGTAGAGCATTTGAGATGCAGATCCCAAACACCAAAGCACAAGCTTGTATAGTACTCCACAGCCTGATCCTGCCCCAGAGGACCAAGTGCCAGGAAGTGCCTCACCATCTCTCCTCGGGGCCGGATCCTGCAGCGGGATTTGCCACACAGCATTAAAACCTGGCCCCTACCGCTTTTAGTGGCTGGGTGTTTCATCCTAGCAGGAGCTTATCTGAAGGAAGACATGCTTGCTGCTCAGACAAGCATCCAAGTTCACCACAGATAAAGAGCAGGCAGCCGCGCAGGACAGGGACCGAAGCTGCAGCATTTTGCTTCGTTTCAGGAGGAGCCTTGCCCTAGCGTTCTCCAAAGAGGCGTGGGAGGAATTCTGCTGCAGATAAATGCCAGGCTCCCAGAGACGGATCTTTTTCTGACTGCTCCCAGCTGTCAGGCTCACAGCGCTCCCTAGCAGGAAGGCGAACAGCCAAGGAGCAGTAGGTGCAGCTGCCATCTGACTGACGGCTGTCACAATCGAGGCTTCGGCTCATCAAGTCCTAGGAACGTGGGACGGCGGTTCAAGGTGGAGGAGAGATTGGGGCAGCGGGGGGCGGTGGGAGGGCGTTGTAGCACAAGAAATAGAACTGAGCGGGGTTAGACTGCGAACTTAAAAGCAGGGGCTCGCGCTGCATCCAATCCCACAGACGCAGACAGGCCGGGCTAGCACGGGCACTCGAGCGGAAGGGCAGGAGCTCTCCCCCTCAGGGCTGCAAGCTCCAGCGCTCACCGTCTGCAGCTCTCAGATAAAGGCTGTCAAGCGCCTTAATTAGCTCTGAGAACGAAGACAGCTCACCTGGAGCAGACAACAGACAGCTCTCTCTTTCCCAAGTCAGGACACGCGTCTGGTATTTACAGAGATTTTCCTCTAAGTTCCAACTCGATCTCAGTTTTGCAGGGAGCTCTAGGCTCTTCCCTGGTGAGGCACAGGGGTCTTGCAGAGCCTGTCCAGAGCTAACCCTCTGCATGCACCTCGCCTACCAGGAAGGCACGAGGTTCCCCCCGGGGCGCAGCACCAGCTCCTTCGGCGCGGGAGAACACGCTCCGTCTACTGGCCAACGCAGCACTGCAGAGAAGAGACTGCGCGCCCAGAGACAGATCTCCAAACCAGTTAATTCCTGTACGGCAGCCTTATACGCCACTCCTACGCTGAGGAAGACTTGCCCAACTCGTAACAGGTAGACTCACTCCTACCTTCCCCCTCCAGTCACCCAAAAAACACAAGAAACAGCACTAGGGAGAGTTGGCGCTTCTCGGCGAACCCAGCTCAAACGGCCACTCAGCGATCTTCCTCCTGCAAGTCATCTGGAAGAGGAAAACGTGGGCTGCACACCGCGGAGAGCAACAGGACTGGATAATCAGAACATAAATCTCTAGAAGATTAAGCAAATCCTCCACGAGATTAAATTTGTTTTCTCCTCAGGTTACTTCATTATCTTCTCTGAAAAAATCACCCTAACTGATCCAACTGCAGGTCAGATAATGCTGGTGTCAGGGATAACTAGCAAGCGAGCTTGCCAAGAACAGCAAAGCTGGGTAGACGTGGGTGAAGCGAGACAAACCCCAGGACCAACAATCCACTCACTGGTGAGGAGGACGACGGAGGGCACAGCTGACCTCAGACTTCACGGGGATGTCCGTGAAATACCAGTGAGATCTGTTCTCAGAGAGACTGAAAGCACCTTTGTGCAAGGTGCAAAGGAGGGACATTTGCACAGGGCAATCAGCCCCCCAGAAGCTCTAGTTTCGAGTGCTCTCCACACGGCCGCATGCGTGCACGCCCCACCACAGGCTGCCTTGGAGATACTCATGCACTCCTTGCCCTCTTCATACTCTAAACCCAATGGATCATGCTTGTTACGCTTTCTACCGCTGTATTCCTCCCTTGCATTTCAGCTCACACAGAGGAGAACTAGGATCCAAGCCATCACACGGGAAACACACAGAACACCCCAACTAGTTACGCATCCCAAGGCGGCCAGCTGAAGCTCCAGATGTCAGGAACGAAGAACATTTATGACAGCGCAAACTTTCAGCGGGTCTATCAACTGCCAAACACACAGCTTCAGAAAAGCCCCAGAACGTTCCCCCAGCCCTATCTCTCAGCTCTGGCTCCAAACAGAAGTCAGACTAGGAGTTGCTCTAAAGCTAGAGTGAGCGGAGCCAAGTTCAAGTGCAATTCATGCACGACACATGAATCATGACCACACCACTTCTAAGACTTCAGCTGAAGCCATATGCTCGACGACAAGCTCTGCAGGTGGTACAGGGATTCCCACAGACTGGGAATCAACGTCATTTGACAGGCACGCTAGCTGCGGAGGTGAACTTTGCCAGCCTTCAGCTACTGGAGTGACTTGCAGCTCTGGGAAGCGTGTCAGTCCAGCCCACAGCATCTCAGCTCATTCCCATAGGTGTCAAGAGGACGGGATAACATATACCCAGGAGAAATCCTTGTGTAACATGCAAGTAAAACTATTCAATACACACTATGTGCAGTCCTCGATATCCAAAAATCAGGGCATTTTATGCACACTGGTGTATCCCTGCCCATAGCACAGGGACAGAACTGGTAGATGTAGTCAGTTTTTGCTAAGTCACAGCTCACTGCTAGCCACACAGCCTGAAGGGCCTCCCTTCTGCTAGCTGGTGGACTCTCTCCTGTCTTCCCCCAGCTGGCAAGAGAAAACAAGCATCTTTCATACACTGCTGGCATCCCACTCTGGGAAGCCTAAAGGAAAAGCAAGCCCTTACCTTGCGGGTCAGCTTTCTTGAAGGCATTGCCTGCGTCCACAAAGTTGGTAGCTGCATCATGCTTGCTCTGCAGCTGCAGGTGGAGCTGCGCTGCCTGGCAAAAGGCATTCCCCGCAGCTGGAAGAGAAAGCGGGAAGCATAATCTTAACCATTTCAGAGATATGGGCTGGAAAAGCAGGATGCAGGCAGCTTATCCTCTGATGGTATTTTTAAGTGTCAAAAGCTAAAAAAAAAAAGTTGTTTTAAGTGGCACTGCAGCCTGCACTGAGGAGCTGTGGGAAGAGCGCTTAGAGTTAAGCGCAGGCACCTAGAACTGAAGTTTGGCAGCACCAGCAGCCAAGAATCTCTCTTGCTTTGGGTCCCAGTGGAACATGTGGGACAGGGCCTGGGGAAAGGGAGTCAGGCAGCGTGTCTCTGGGAAGGCCCTTGGCCATGTCATGACTCTCCTAAGTCAGGACTAGCGGTGCGTGCTCCTTTCCACATGGCAAAATCAGGCCGTTCAACAGCCTTTCCCAGCTCCACGCTCAAGGTCTCTCGTGGGCTTGTGACACTGGATTTCAGACACAGCAGTTCACTCCTTCCTGGAGCAGGCAGGGAGACCGTACCCTCGGCCCACAAGATCACACTCCGCCTCCACAAGTGCGGGGAAACAGCTCACAACCGCAAACGCGCGCAGACGTACCGCTCCAGTTTTTGGCCATTTTGAACATGTTTGCCGCTCGTGCGTAGATGTCGCATGCTTCCTCTATCCTTGAGGAGCCCCTGGAAGCAAACAGAAGCCAGGCATTGCATAAACACTGTCTGCTGGGAAGCTCAAACCCACTGCCCCAGTGGAAAAAATTGCATTGTTCCACTCAGGCTGCCAACACGAGCAAAAAAGGTTCCCCTGGGACGAGCTACTAACAAAGACAAGTCATCTCTTCTAGCTCCAGATTTACAGGGAACTGGCATCTGCAAGACTCTACAGCTTGCGGTTCAGGGCAGTGTTAAAATTGAGGCCAACCAGGGGAGGAAAAAAAAAAAAAGCAGATTTGCTGACTGCAATTCTATTTGCTCAGGGCTCGTGCTCACAGGTGACCGAGGATGGGGCCTATAAGGCAGAAAGAAATGCAAGCAGCAGCGTCCCGCTTGGTCCATCCTCTCTGGGAAGCACCAGGCCCACGCAGGCCTTCCCCCCCATCTCATAGATTTACAAAGACTCAGCAGGAGCTGAGCCAATACTTCACAGAAGCTGTTTTTATTAATAATTAACAAGCAGAGGAACCATCCAGCAGCAAAGAGGCAAAGCATCCGTGGCGAAGGAAGCCGCGCTGTTGCCGTCAGTTAAGCCCCAGCCCACGTCTCCCCTCCGCTGCCAGAGCAGATGTTGGCAGGGGCATAGCCAGCAGCCACTGCAGGACTGTCCTGGCTCTTGAATAAGCTGGGCAAATTCCAGAAATAGCACGCTCCCAGCACGTGGGCTTCAGCTGCCTCGCGCCGCAGCAGCCGTGACGGCGACCAGGAGAAGGGAGAGACTCTCGTCCGCCCCTCAGCCCCAAAGGGAAAGCCAGGAGAGCGCTAGCTCATCAAGAACCAGCCCCTTTTAAAATTCAGGAGCTGCAGCAAACAAGCACCACCTCCCCCAGCTCTTCAGTTTTGCTAATGAACATGCACATCTATTGGCTTTATTGATTCTGACTAAAACCCCTAACTGAGGAGACAAGAGAGCTTATTATGGTTGGGTTTTTTTTGTTTTTGTTTTTTTAAAGCAGAAGAACACACAACTTCACTCACATTTCCTCCCTCTCACTAGAAAACTGCAGTGAAAGACGTGGCAGAGACTGGCAGAAATAGTTTGTTAGAGTCAGCAAGCTCTTCCACTAGTTTGGATCAGTTTGAACAATCAAATCCTCTTTCATTCCCTAGTTTTCCTGCTCCCCTAAACAGGTAAAGCGCCAACACGAGTGCCTTGGAATTAACCCAAACTCGAGGAGGAAAATTTCTCCCGCACCCTATAGAGTCATCTACATTACTAGTGCAATCAACATTACTAAGCAAGTCATGATTTACACAAAAAAAGGGTTGGGGGGGGGGGAATCACTAATCTGCAAACAAGATTTGTTTCCTCTTTTTTCTCAGAAAAATAATGGAAAATTATTTTTTAGAAAAAATAATTGGAAAATCAAGGCAATGTGTGCTTTCCATCCCAGCAAAGTTTTATCTTTCAGTCTGGAAGAACAAGACTCTTCTGGAACCACAAGATCCAATCACAGAATCAGCTGCTCTGCCTCAAAGGGGAGGGGGGGGAAAAAAAAAACCCACCACCATTCCCAGTGTTTTTATCTTCAGGCAAGAAGGCCGCACAGGCCAGCACAAACACTAGTGTTCACTAATAACTTGACTAAGGATGCGATAAGCATCTCGCAGATTTCTGAAGCCATGCTTCACGTGCTTTGTGATGTGCCTTCAGACCCTCAGAGCTGAAAACAGCTCAAAGAAACATACAACTACCAGAGTTTTCAGTAGCATGTGAAACAGCCTTTTAACCGAAAGAACACTGCGATTAAAAATCATCATCCTTTAGTATTTAAATACCCTAGTTTTCTGTTCTCCATTAATTTGAAGCTTTCAAATAGTAAAAGCAGCGAGATCTGAAAGAAATTCAATGCTATACAGAAGCAAAGAGCGACTTTAGAGCAACAACAAAAAAGCTGGAGAAACCAGGTGTTGGGACTCCGCCACGCGACTGCTGGGAAAGCCTCCCCAGCTGCAAAACAAGGCTAACAAACCTTCCCCTTATCAGGGCCCTGCAAGGGCAAGGGATGAACTCGTTCTTGCTTATGAAACACTATTTACTTGGGTAAAGCTGAATTTTGCAATCTTCAACACTGGACACCTCTGATTTCTCCCCTACCGATCCAATCGTGCAAAGTTGGAGGTAGAGCAAGGGCAGAACCAACCAGTATGAATGCAGAACAGCTTCCAATCTTTGTTTACAGAGGTACGTTCAAATTAGACCAAAAAGGTAAGTTAAATTTATGCAATTTGTCTTTCATAAATAAGATCTGGGGAGGAAGGAGCAGAACTCTTAGTCCTAAACAAGCCAGCGTAGAAATGTAAGCTCAATTAAGATTTGGTAAAGAGAATCCAAAAAAAAAAAAAGTTTTTAAAACACAAACTGAAAGCAACTAATTTATGACACATTTAGGGGTGAGCACCAGGGAACTCAGTCAATAGAAACATCTAACAGTTTTTAAGAGCCCCTCAGAAACATGCACTGCCTTTCTAAGTAACCTGGCCCTTTCCTCTAAATTTCTCCATCGTTTCTGAGGTTCCTTACTTCACAGCAGCGCTAAAAAGCTCCCTCTTTCCCCCAGCCCTTGCAGAGGACACTGGGCTTGTTGTTTCAGGGCTCTCTTTGCTGTTTTACCCCTTCTTTAGGGCCGTTTCAGGCTCGGAACAACGCTGGGGCCAAGCCGCCGGCCGCCCCAGGGGTCCGAGGGACGGAGCTCGTCCCCCGAGGCCTTGGCTCCCAGTTTTATCCCAAACTCCCCGTTCTCCACCACTGCCCACCTCCCCTCTTCTCTCCCCTGGGTGGGGAACAGCCTCTGGCACCCCCAGGACTCTGCAGCCCCGACACCCCCACG